TCCAAATTCATATAAGAAATATTTACAATATTAATGCAAAAAAGGAATTTTTTAGGAAAATCTAACACCAAGTATATTGAAAACAATGCATTATCGGACTTATATGTCGGTCTATGAACTTTTTTCCATGAAATTAGCTTCTGAACAGGCCCGTACATTTTTTATCCACAATTTAGGCACACTAGTTTTTTGGGAAATATGTTTTGGCTTTCAACTTCTCTATCATCATACAGAAAGTTAGAAAGTTCCGAGAAAGTGGGACAACATCCATTGAATACAATAAAATCACTTCACAAAGGTATATAGACCACGCAGAGAGGTTTCTATCACAACGTAATATTTAAGAGAGTATTGATATAAAATTTCACTCACATGTTACATGGAAAAGTTCTCAATATCGAGGTGTACTTCAAAGTACACCTGCTATTCGGAAATCCTATTTTAACAAGCATCCTGAAAGTGTTCACTATCTTCGATTAACGTTATAAAATTGGTTTAGTATCTCTATACGTTTTGGAAATAGGATTAGCGTTATATTTCTGTATTGAATTTTACTGGACTACAAAAATATTGCTGGCACAACAAACATCATTTGTTAGGGGAGCCTCACGTTCTCCCCTACACCAAATCGAGTATCCTAACTATCGAGATTCACATCTCATTAAACACTCGTAGATAGTGAAAAGAGGGAACAACATAACATCGATTTCACATAATTTGCTGGAGGTCGATTTTTGTTTGTTTCCGGAATGAAAGTAACTTTCTACCTTTCATCTCAATATAGTTTTTGGCACAAGGAAGTGTTATAAACATCAGAACAGTTATCACGAAAAATAGGTATGAATAGTTGGATATGCTGTACAAGTTGATGAACATTTCTGAAAAATAAATATACCCTACCTATTGTTTCTGATATGAATTTATAGATTTTGAAAATTCAACAGAAAAATCAATTGAAAGTATGGTCTGAAAATTATTTCATTTTCATTACCAGTCATAGTCCGAATAGATAAATTTATATTGTGTGGACGTGAAAAATAATTTATTTCCTCCTAACATTTGACTGGAAACTACTAGGATAGTGATTGTTGGAATGTGATGACGGTTTTTAATGAAATTTTCTGAAAGAGTGTCAATGAATTCGAAAACTATGAAATGCTGAATGGATGAAATATTAAAAATACCAGGGTGGTCCCGACAATACCCGGCCTGAACTAGAGATGGCGGTAGTTGTTTGAAAAATATCACTGTATTAGAAAATGCATAATCTAAAAAGCATATGTTTCAAGTTTAAAGACGCTGCATTGTTTAGTATTTGTTTGGCAGCCATCAATAGCGAACGTTTTCGGTGAATTAGTGAAAATGGAAAAATATAAAAGCTGAACTGGATTCTACTCTAGGTGATTCTGTTCCTTCGTTTACAATAGTAACATATTGGGTAGCAAAGTTTAAACGAGGCCGTACGAGCTGCCAAGACGAGCATCGCAGTGGTCCACCAAATGAGGTGAAGACTCCACAAACGGTGAAAAAAAACCACAAAGCGGTACTGAATGATCGTCGATTGAAAGTGCGCGACATGATAAATCTGGTGTATTTCATTATTTTGGACTTCCATTGTCTAATATGGTATAAATTGATTTGAAATCACTAAAAAAATCTATAAAAACTTGAACAGATCAGCTGAAAAAAACAATTATATTAACCGAAAAAACCGAAATTACAATGAAATAAAATACAAGCAACTCGCAGGGTATCTTGTAAATACAATTCTTGGAATCGCAGTCCGCGTTGCATGGTTTTCGTGAGGCTGCAACGGATAGTGTTCCCAAATCTGAAGCAGGTTCTGATGTTATACTTGGACCCAATTCTTCTTATTGACCTGGTTCCAAGTATAACATTATCCTGGGTCCTGCAGGAATAGCAGAGTATATTTGGACTCATCAACATAAGATCAAGTGGTCTCAATCTGAAATCATCCACAAGGAGGAACACTGATTCAGAGGAAAATTCAAAGAAGCCGCATATATGTTATCCAATAACGCATTCAGCCAAGCTAGCGTAGAGATACGCAACATATGGAAATCTATAATCAGGCGGAAGATGGCCAACTCCCGTCAAGCGGTCAGCTCCCGCTAAAACCGATGAAGCGGAGAGAGGGAAGAGAGAATAGGTGAAAGCACTTGATTGACCTATAAATAGTCAGATCTCGAAGGAATAAGTCCAGTTATCACCCGAAGACGATTGTGGATACTAACAATCGAAACGTCGTGACGTAACTTGATTCATTATTGCAATGATCAAAATTAACGAATTAATGTTTGAATTGCTACCTCATGCATCCTATTCGCCAGATTTAGCCCCCTCGGACTATAATCTGTTTCCAAACTTGAAAAAATGGCACAGTGATCAAAGATTTTCAACGGTGAGAAAGTGATGTGGGCAGTTAATGGCTATTTTGTTCTTATTCTTATTATAAAAGCGGTATCGAACTTATTGAACGTCGCTGGGAAAAGTGTAAAATGCTTCAGGAAAATGCTTTCCAAAATGTTTGTGTTTTCTTTGTTGAACCGAGTACTTCTGGAACCACCCACGTACTAAGAATATTAAAAATAATTAGACTGAAATATTGGTTTGGTTGAAAAAGAAATAAAATTGAAAACGAATGAACAGTTCCAAAAATAGAACGGTTATTCGTTATGAAAATAATCGTTGTGACATGAAATGAAAATGAATTAATGAATGTGGTGCACAATAAATGAAATGTCAATTAATAATGAATATAAAAGATCACATAATGGAGATTAATGATGAGAAATTCTCAAGAAAAAAAATTAGGAAGAAGAATTCAAACTAAGCTTCTTTCCGTCGTTTCGATTATCACTACTCTCAATCATCTTCATATAATAGATGTATATATTTTCAACATTTCATCTCTACGCATAGATTCAATCAAATCTGTCAACACTGTAGTATTCGAGATCATGATTAATAAGCAAAGCAAATGAGCAGAACAAATATTTGATACAGTGTGCCTCTGTAAGTTTGCTTACATAAATCATAAACGCATTAATCTAGCAGTATTTCACATGAAATTACATGAACAAATATATGATACCAAATAAACAATTGGGAATATGCACTAAATTTTGTACAGCATCATAGAAAAGTGAGGATAATCCTGGAATATTAGACTTCTGCTGCTTATAAAATCGACTTCTAAATTTTTTACTAGCACATCAATTTATAGTCTAAACATCCCCTAGAATTCTTTCTTTTTCTCTTCATGTGTCATCATTTCTCAAATATCTGACATTTGAATATTTTATGATAAAGAAGAAATACCTCTGATATCATTATTTCTACAAAATTTTTATCATCACCTTTATTGGTATCGAGGGCCAATTATTCTGGTGACCGAAGAGCCTCAGACAATAGCGCCACATAAAATCTAAGGAAAATTTCAATGTCATATGATTTTTGGTTTCTGCTTGGCATATAATAATAATAAATGGTATTTATTTTACGTGGCGGAGTTTAGCAAAGCGCTAGTCTTCCACTCAACCACGTTTAACTAAAAAGAAAGATCACAAAAAATAAATAGCAATTTCGGGACAATCGTAAAGTTGAGTAGAAATGTTTATGTTTGGATCACTGTTGACTGAGAAATTCAATTTTAAGTTTACTCTGAATAGCGGTAGTGATGAATTTTTCAAAGATTCACTGAATGAATTATGCATTGTTACAGCATGATACGTGAAGGATCGTTCATAGATATTGCTATTATGATTCGGAATGTCAAAATTATTATTGAATCTAAGGTTTCTTGAATGTATCTGATTTCTGGGAAGGATTTTCTTCACCAAAGTGGGTTGTTATTTTTTTGATCAGCTTTTTAATGAAACAGGCGAAATGCAATTCTCTTCTGTTTTGCATTTTGAAACAATTTAATCAATTAATTGAAAGGGTCACATGATCTCTGTAATTCAAGCTGAATATTAGTCTAATGCAGGTGTTCTGTACTGAATTCTTGCAGAAGTTATGGAATCGATACAAGGGCCATAATTGAATATAGAATTAATATGTCTGAAAGGGTAACTTTGAGAGACCTACTAAGATAGTGTATGTATGAATACAGATGTTTCAGAGTACCGATCTTTGAACGAGAATATTGACTTTCTGAGGTTGTAGTCTATATGAAGTCCTGAACATTTTATTTTATCAGTCAATTCCACAAAATGTCCATCAATATGCAAATCGATATTATCTATGGCCCTTTCACGATCTTTAGCTTTTCCAAAAATCATCAAAGATTATTTACAAGGATTAAGGTTTAGTCAGTGTTGCTGCGAAATCTGAACAAGCTTTTTTATATTATTATTGAGTTAGTTAGTGGCGTCTGCATATTTATGAATGTTGAATGATTTAAGAAGCTTGGAGAAGTCAGATGTGTAGATAATGAAGAGTAACAGGGCGAGAATTGAACCATGCAGGGCTCCATGACATACAATCATATTATCAGAATGACTACCATTTACCAACACGTTGTTTTCTATTTTTTTCAAGTGACATGCGTCTACACTGAAACCAAAAAAAAACAAGTTTAGCGCACATCAGATTGTGATTCATGACAGTGTCATATCTATAAGAGTATATTTCTCACATTTCTTGTATATTGAAAATGTCAATCATATAAATATCAAATGGAAGTAGACCCAAGTAGACCTCACAAAGACGACATCTATAAGATAGAACAGAACACTCACTCCATGCATATCAAAGATAAACGACGCCTTTACTTCCGCAGGTTTGATGGAGATATCATCACCTCTACCTAACCGGTCTTGCTCTTCGAGGACAATTGAATCTAACATTATATTCGTGGTTCAGCCGAGCATCACTGAGAAAATCTATGATTTCGAAAAGTTGACCTCATGGGGTTCCATGAGGAATTACCAAATTTTTACTTCATTTACTGTGAATATCCTTAACCACGGTATCAGATGTATTCGCAGTTGTTACCACAGATCATGACAATCAGTACCGCCTCTCGGTATTTTCCGACGAAGCCGTGCCACTTTTTGGACCGGGTCTTCCATGCCCCCCAGTTTTCTGCGATCCCTATCTCTTCAGAGAGTTTCTGCTAGTGAAGTTGATCAACGGAGAAAAAGCAACATTCGAGACTCCAACGTTTTCTAGGAAAAGGCAGAGAACGCTGGATATGCTGATCAAAGACCTCTATTCGGAACATATGATTGACAGCAGAATGGTGAGTATTGAGAACATAAATATTTTGCTATGTCTTGGATTTTCCTGAAAATTTTGTGAATGTCATAAAATATCTACACAATTCCCAATTTCCAATTTGTATTCGATAATGTATATACCAGATGTAAAAGATGAAACTTTTCACAAAGTATTATGACGATACCACAAGAAAAGTACTATGCTCTGAAGATCTGAAGAATCGGAAAAGATTATTTCTAAACGTTAACTATTGCATACATTGCATACATACATTATACATTTTGTTTTAGTTTTACTGACAGGTAAAGTTTTCAGATAAAGTTTCAATATTTAAATAATTTTGGAGGTTTAGTTTGTACCATATTAAAACTTTTATTTTTGAATCCTATAAATAAATCTGAGATGCGATATCTGTTCGATTCCAAATAATACCATTCGCTCCAAACGTATAAACATAGTCGAAGTGACATGAAATTGAATTTTTCTTTTAAGGTGATTGACAATGTTTCATGGTATATTTCATTACTTCGGACTCCCATTGTCTAATATGATATAAAATGATTTGAAATCCCTGAAGAAATCAATAAAATTAAAAAGATCAACTAAAAAAATAACAATTATATCAAGCAAAGAAACTGAAATCACAATGGAATGAAATACAAGCAACAATTGAAAACTGAACAATTAACAAAAAATTAAAATTAAAATATTTCAAACCAAGTTACTTCACAACGTTTCGATTGTTAGTATCCACAATCGTCTTCGGGTGATCACCCGGTCATTTTATATTATATTCGACAATGACATCACCTGAAGACGATTGTGGATGTGGATACTAACAATCGAAACGTCGTGAAGTAACTTAGCTTGGAATCTTTTGATTTCAATTTTCATTCCTTGATAATTGTTCAATTTTCAATTGTTGCTTGTAGTTTATTTCATTGTAATTTCAGTTTTTTTTTGCTATAACTGTTATTTTTTTAGCTAATCTTTCTGATTTTATTGATTCTCCAAGGAATTTATCATTTTATATTATATTAGACACTGGAAGTCCGAACTAATGAAAAGAAATTGAATGAATCAGTGCAAGTGTAACATGAAACTTTTTCAATATCGTATTTTGAAAGTAGTTCATCATCCCTAAAATAAATTCACATGACAGATAAGATGTATTGCTCGTTGGTTGAATTTGAGACAATGAGATTAAAGATCATTCATTCTTGACAACTCAAAGATGAATCTAACCTTCATTTAAAGCTTATTGAATTATACTTAATGGTATACCTATTAAATAATAAGGACTCAAAAATAAACCCCTGTGAAACAACAATTATATGGCTGATAAAACTGCGAATATCAATTATGCTCTCTAGGTGGCTCGAGGAATTAATAACATAGCATACTCAGCGTTCTGATGTGATTTCAAAAATTTATAATGGATTTATCAAGTTTGTCGATCATTCTGTCAGTGGATATGGAAACTATAGGTATTAGAAATCGACAATGAATGCATGGAGATGGAGAATTTCAATTCGAATATTGATTATGATATTTTTCTAATATATGTTTTGGAAGAAGAAAGTAATACAAATCATAAAATTATAAAATAACAAAAATTAATTGATGCTCCGAGGCGACTCCATTGATTCCAGTGGCGCATTTGCTTTTTCAGCTAGAGGAAAACCTGCAGCACCACATCATCTGAAGATATTGATTTTCCAATGTCCTCTCTTCCGTCAAACAAAATGTATGGTATCTCCAGAGGCTCCAATAAATTCAAAACATCGACAGAAAACTTAGTGACACGACTATCGTCAAACTTAAACCAGTCTGTTTCGTCTTTAACCAATGCATAATAATGGCCAGATTCAACGCCAGAACCACAGTGAACAATGACTGCATGAATATTATAATAGTGGTCTGCTAGGTTGAAATGTTAATCAATTTCGAACCTTTGTAAGAGTTTGGTGCTTCCGTCGTGAGTTGAGTCATGTTTGAAGATCATCTGTGTTATTCTTAGGTTGACTGGTGCTTCAGCTATACTTGTTTTGTTATAATAGTCAGTCAGACAAATGAATTTTTTTTATATCGATGAGAACTGGTCGAACTGCAAATTCTGTGAGTCTCTCTTATTGCTATAAATTGTGAGTCATTTTGGCAGAGAAAAATGTTATTTTTTAATGGTGAAAAAACACTTTTCGCGGTGAAAGTTTTTTGACAATCTTGTCAACCTGATAAGCTGTAATCCATTGAGCAAGTATCACACTTTTTTTAATTGATGTTCATAGCTATTTCATACATTAAAAATGAAAATGTTGGGATTCTGAATGTAGAGGGTAATCAGTATCCAATGAAGTATCCAATGAATTAATGTAATCTTTTTTTTTTCAGTGAACCTAGAAATCTTTTCCTCTTTTTCCACCAGTAACTTCATTTCGAAAATACTACACTCCACACAAATATAATTCAGAAAAATTAGCACAGCATTCATGAACATTATGAATTTACCGATGAATCAAAGGGCAATGAACTCCAGTAATCTGTTAAACCATTAGGATTTTCGGAAAAATATTTGGGAGCTGCGTCATCAATTATTCCGGGATGTTTCACATGAACTTATAATTGAGACTGGTCGGGGATTCCATTTATGAGGTTTGGGAATCCAGCACATTCTGGAAAGAGGGTTCTGAATTCGAAAAGATAAACCACTGGTATCAATATTACAGAACATTTGGCTGATCCATTTGTGTTGGAAATATATGAATATGAGAAGGGGTGAAATTCCACTGGAAGATTTTGTGGTCCATTTGACTATCAGAGTAAACTTGATGAAAAATGTATGATATAGTTTATTATTATTATTCTGGCATCGACTGCTGAGGTCATTAGCCATTTTGTAGTAAACGATATCTGTTTATATTTTGTTGAAAAGGTCCGTTACTTTCAGAAAGTTCAAAACATTTCTTATAGCTTTGGTACCGAGGCAAGTTCTGATATTATCCGATAAGTTATATCGTTGTCGATCGGCTTCATACTGGTGGCATTCTAAGAGAAGGTGTTTAACCGTCATCAAAGTTTGGCAATTTTCGCAGGATGGTTGTCTTTATCTTCTCAGTATATAAGAGGATGTTAAGTTCGTATGTCCTATCCTAAATCGTGTTATTTCTCTTCTTGTTAGCCCTTGTGGAAGTCTCATAGCTGCAATATCAGGTTTGATATCTTTTAATTTTGAATCGTTGTTTGTCCATTCGTGTTGCCATGTGATCGATTTTCCTTTGGACTGGAGACAACTCATCAGTGTTAAGATTCTTTGAACCAGCTGATATTTACTGAAAGAGTTTTCAATTGCTTGAATAGAACTCAGCCAGTCTGTGCAAAGGATGTATGAATGAAAATTACATAAGTCCATGTATAGTAATGCTTGCCAGATTGCATATAGTTCTGCTGTGAAAACACTCGCTTGATTCGGTAAGGTCCAGAAGTGGGTTGATCCCAAACATGCGAAAGCACTTCCAGTTCCTTGCTCAGTCTTCGATCCATCCGTGTACACTATATGGCTATTCGGGTATGTTTCAATTATTCTTTTGGATTCATCCCTGATCACCGCTGGGTTGATTTCCTCTTTGTTGAATACAGAACACTCTAAGTCTCTTCAATCGGTTTCGTTTCCCACGGGGGAGACTCGCAGAATCCTATCTTGTATGTGTCTGGAAAGCGGGTATCCATTGAGGACAACAGCTCTTTCAGTCGTACACCGGTTGGGCGGGAAATAGTAGGACGTCGTGCGTAAATGGATTCGTTTTCCTCTATAAACATAAATGAAAAATTAGGGTGTGATGGTTGGGAACAAATTCTAATCCCGTATGCTGCTAAAAGTTGGTTTCTTCTGTATTTAAGTGGCGGTATCCCTGCTTCACAACACAATAATTTAAGCGGACTAGTCCTGTAGGCCCCCAAGGCCAATCGCAATCCAGTACAGTGGATTGAATCTTACACTCTGAGAGTAGAAGAACGAGCTGCAGCATATATGGTACAACCGAGTCCATCTTAGACAGCACTAGAATTTTATATAGTTCCACTGCGATGTCTCTATCACTTCCCCACCTAATCTTCGATACTGCTCGCACAGGGTTCGAAGCTTTTTTGCATCTTACGGCTAAGTCATTGATGTGAGATTTCCAATGCAGTTTTCTGTCTAGAATCAAACCAAGAAATTTGATTGTTTCAACAACAAGCACTAAAAAAGTTACAACATTGAAATTAATCTGACGTTTTGTACTACCAAAAAGATAATTAGCCAGAAATTTATTTGGTTCACCCCATGGTTGTAAGGGGTGGAAAACGCAACCCCTAAAATTTATTTCCAATGTAACTTTTCGTCTTATTATTTGTTTACCATTTAAAAATTTATTTCCGATAGCCTGTTTCATTCTAAACAAAAAATGTCTCTTGGGTTATTTGCCGAAAATAAAGCAGTTCGCAGCAAAAAATTATTTCACGAACAAAATACAGAGATACGTCGTCATAAATGCGAAAATACGAAAATAATCTATCTAGTAGGTCGCTATTAGCGATATTGACAATTAAATTGATATGACGCTGTCAGTTTGTGAATTTTCGAAATTGAAATTAAAGCTAATTGTATGTTGTTGTTCTGTTCTTAATTTGTTACTTCAATAATTCACTTGTTATTAAAATGGCATACACGAATGAGGCTGATATGCATTACGTTTATAGTCTGTCACAGGGAGATGGGTTGAAAGCTTCTAGAAGATATGCTGAAATGTATCCTCAACGGCAGCATCCTCCACATAGAATATTTGCTCGACTTCATCAATGATTACGAGAATATGGTTCATTCGACAAAACAACACAGGATTGTGGTCGCCATCGAGAAGTACGAACAACACAGCTTGAGGAAGCAGGATTGAAGACCAACCTACTACTAGTACTAGAAAGATTGCTTTCCAGCTGAATGTTGATCATATGACGGTATTTCGATTGTAAAGAAACAACACTTAT